GATCAGTCCTTTGCTTTTGCCATAGCAAAACCATCACCGTATCAGAATGAGTTGATCTTGTTACTTCAACATAATACAAAATGTACATAAGCAATTCAGATACAAAAACATTGAGTAGGTAAATCTTGGTCACAGATACCCAGGGAAAGGCTTACTGGAAAGAATACTTTTGCCAACTCTTAAAATCAATTTTTGAATGCAAAATTTCCTTTGCATTTTTATTTATTAGATTAGGAGTAAAAGCCAAATTCATGGCAGACTGAAGACAGCAGCACTATCCAATGGAATGCTACATTCCATAACAGGGTAAGTTGAGGACACAGTTCAGAAACGGACGGTGTAAGTGAAGTCCTGCCCCAAAGCCGGGGACCAGATGGGAAGACTTCAGGTAGAGGTAACAACTTCGGGCTCTTAACAAGCATTGCCTTGGCTGAGTTCATAAAATACTACGCAAGTCATCACAACCTTTGTCTTTAACAAAATGACGAGAATTTTGTCACTAAAGTACAAGAAATGTCTATTAAAAATCATAGTGTACAGAACTTCCCCGTAAAGAAAATGTGTGGAGTGCTTAGTACCTTTCTTTGGAAGACACATGCTATAGACAGAAAATTGCAATAATGTGCATATACTACCAATCGGTACAATCAGAAAACAGGTAGACTGTCAACTTACAGACCTTATTAGAGCCAGTCAGACAGCACCTAGATCCTACTAGTCTATCAGTCAGTGAGCACACAGTTACTGTTAATAGTAGAGTCTGTCAGTCAGTGAGCACATAGATGCTATCAGAGTCTGTCAGTCAGTCAGTGCACACAGATCCTACCAGAGTCTGCCAGTCAGTGAGCACATAGATCCTCTCCGAGTCTGTCAGTCAGCGCACAGACCCTACTAGAGTCTGTCAGTCAGTGAGCACATAGATGCTCTCAGAGTCTGTCAGTCACACAGACCTATTAGAGTCTGCCAGTCAGTATACAGATCCTACTGGAGTGTCAGTGAGCATGCAGATCCTATCAGAGTCTGTCAGCCAGTCGGCACACAGATCCTATAGAGAGTCAGCATACAATCCTACCAGTCTGTCAGTCAGCCAGCACAGAGAGCCTACTAAAGACAGTCTTCTCAACAGTATGAGTCTAAATTCAACCTCCGGATACATTAAATCTTCTGATGTCTGTGTTACCTTGAGGGGAAGTCAGAGTTCTACCTGTCAATGTTCAACCTGACTCAATTGTTATATATTTTTAAAATAAAAATATTTTAAAACACAAATAAGTCAAAATGTATACTAGAAAAGCTGGGTAAATCTATCAGATTTCTTGACACCAAACAGCATGGCTTCCGGGCTTGACGAAGACAATGGAATGTATGTAAGACTACATAAACCAGATACAGTTCTTTCAATTACTAGACACTCTTTCCTTTGTCCATTGGCTATCCTAAAAGCACCAGTGAGTTTCTCAGATCTCCTACACATGCACAAAAAACTGTAAAACGAATTTATTTCCAAACAGCTATATCATATGTTTCTTTAAAATGCCAGTGCCTCTGAAGATCAAAGGTGGGTTGCAAAGAGGATTACCCAGATGGTAACAAGGAATACTTAACCATTCCGTCTAGGAGTGCAAATGTACAGTATCCCTAACTCTAATTTGGAAACAAGCAAACAACGAAAACCAGAAGCAATGATATAGGGTATATCCCTAGCACAATACATGAGTTTTCTTATTCTACTTTCCTAAATCAAGGTAAAAGCATCCCTTTTACCAAAGCAAAACAGAAAACAATACGAAGAATAAGTAAGAGCTAAATTCCAATTTGGGGATTAGGAGATAGAACAGAAGTGGGTTCTCTAAGTCTGCTTTAGATTCCTCTTTCAAATCTGTCACAGACTTCCTCACTCAGTTTTGAAACAACAACAAGAAAACAGAATAGATAGTAATTTTCCTTTCCCCATTTTATACCAGTAGATTAAATGCTAATGTTTTCACCTATTTCTCCCATAATAAAACTTAAAGCCTCAGCAAAGGGTACTCTGAAGTCCATTTCGTCTTTGTAGGACTTGTGCTACAGACACGATCATAGTAATGTGTACATACTACGAATACACATCCAAGTAACAGAAAGGGGGGAGGAAGGCCTAGAAAGGAAGGATAGGAAGTAAGACTTCTCTAAAATGTGGAGTAAGAGCTTTTCCCCATTCTGTATTATCCTGGCTTCCTTCTGTTGAACTTCTCTGAAAGGATCTTGACCTAAAAACTAAAGGAAGTGGAAACCCTTTCCTGTCAAATTCCAATTTCTCGTGTCCTATCTGAGGATAGTAAGACCACCAAAGCTCATTGTCTGGGGGACGCAAACTAGCACAGGAGAGTGGTGAAATAATCAGCACGGATGAGAGCCAGAATGAACATCCCAATGGCCTGTCTCTACTGCTGGGCTTTGTAACAGGTTAACACAATGCTAGTTTGTTAGAGAAGGCCACTCACGCTAAGAGTGGGTACAGTCTAAATCCAAAGTCTTTAGATCAAAGTGCTCCCTCTTCTCATTCATTAGCTCTGAATTATTCTCACTTTGCAGCAGGAGAAAAGACTGAATGCCTATTTGGGCTACAGATGTCACCCTCCAAGCAAAGTACACAAAGTGACCTTGTAAAAGTGCCACATACCCCCCAGACCACATCTCATTCTCGCAATGGTGGGGGCACCCCCACATGTCAACCCCGTTAGTATTATAGCCACAGGACTAGAGAAAAGTCAGGAGAAGCGATCTGTACACCACTGCGACGGTCAGCACTTCTAGACGCAGAGTGTTGTTCTTTTGCCAATGTTCACATTACAAATTACATGTCCTGTCTCTTAAAATAACCTTCTTCAGGGCAAGGACCTTTTCTTGTACTTCTGTGTGTCCTTCCCCCACCACTGCCCCCACCAGCCCAAAGCCCCACAAACAAAGACACTAAGTACACATTAGGTAACATCTCGACAGAACAACAGGGTACTTTATGTCTTGGATGCAGTTTTGAGAAGAATCTAGGCAAGCAGCCTTTGGAAACTGGCCATGGTATTATACGTACGACAGAGTAAAGGACTCAGGGTTGGGAGTCAGTTGTCTGTTAACACAACCTTTATCATCCTACAGGTAGTACCTCAGTACCTCTCTCCAGGGTGCTTTAAATCTCCAGCTATTAGCCAACGACAATTATGTAATTCAGCTATGTGTTCTACGTCACCCTGCAATATAAAGGGTTAAAGATGGGACTAAAACCTAGGATAACCCTCTAAAACACAGCAGCCTGCCTTGGAGGGTGTTACTCCATTTAATATTAAGATCTGCTCAAATATAATATATATCTCCAAAGAACTGTCCTTTCAGAACCATGAGGAATTCAGAATTCCTAGGTTGATGCTCTGTCCCAGAAACTACTATTCCAGTATTTTTCCACCCAACTTTCTAAGTAGTTCTTAACCTGGGTTACAAATCATCAGGGAAGCTATTGAAACACACACATGTCCAGACCCCATTCTCAGAGATTTTGAATCAATATTAAGCCTATGGCGGACACAGGCCTGTTCATGTTTCAAAAGTTCTAAAGGGGATTCTAAGGAACACTCCTGGATGAGAACCACAACAAAAGGTCTTCCGTTACCACACAAAACAAAACAAAAACAAAAATATCCTTGGAAAATAGCTAACTTGTTCTCACTGGTTATCGCTAAAGGACAAGCTGATAACTTTAAGGGAGGGGAGACACCTACCTATTTTAAAAATGTCATGAGAACTTTAAATTTGCCTCTCAGAAAAACGTACATATATTCATACATTTTGCATGCAAAATTGGGAGACAGAGCAAGCCATCGTGACTACCAAGGGGCTAAGAATCCCTTCTCTAAGCATTTCCTGTTTAACCCTACAGAGAAAATGAAACAACAGAAGTGAATAGATAATACAAAAACCGTCAAGAGTTAGACACCACAGGGTCCCAAAGATTCCTTTTATGAGACAGTTTCTCCTTATGAACACAAGAATACTCCAATGAGAGAGATTAAATTCACCACCAAGCTTCACCATATTTGGGGGAAAAAAATTGTTCATATTAAAAAAAATTGCTCATATAGGAAAAATTTTGTTTTTAAACTTAAGGAGAATGTGCTGAAAATTATTAGAAAATAAAAAGCGGCATGAGTGAACTCTTCTCTGCCTTTTTCCTTGAGCAATTCAAACATGAGTGGTGACTCCCGAATCTGACTCCATCCTAAACAGCCCCACAGGAACTGGCTTTGGCAGGAAAGTTGCTGAGATTGACAGAGAACCTGGGAACCACTGGAGAAAAGACATCACTGCCCTACGAGAGCCCTACAAGAGCTAGAGACCACCCTACTCTTCTAAACCCTACTCCGCAGATACCAAAAGACCTATGCCTGGCTCTTCAAGTTGAAAACACAAACCAAGATACTTCCCACATCCTCAGAGCCAGCTTCCCCCAAGGCATCGAAGACTTAGGATTGTTTCTCAGGAAAGGAGGCAAAATTTCTCACCCTATGTCCACTTGCAAGCTCCCGATTACTCTGTGGATGTTCTGTAGCCTGGGCTGGCCCTTGCAGGACCTGGCTGGAGAGGAAGGGAGAAGGAAAAAGAAAGACTCCCCCAGGCCAGATCCATTTAGGCCCACTGGAGAAAGCATCCACTGGGCCAGACTTCTCTCTCGCCAACCATCCCCTTCCTTCCTAGACAGACACCCCAATGCCATGCATTACACTGGACAATCCGAAGGGGAGATGAAAGAGGGGGAAGAAAGCAGTCAAGTAAGGACTGTGAGGAAAACACACATCAAAGAGACAAAGGTGAAGAAAAATTGGGCTTTTGTGTACCCCTCCCACACCCCACCACCACTTCACCCACACGAGGACATTAGTGAGTTCAGACACTAGGGAACAGAGAAGAACCAAGTGTATGGGGCATGCTTAGCCCCAGGGGAGAGTATCCTTTCCCTCTTCCTCCAGACTTGTCCTAAAAGACTCAACTTGCCAACTTGCCCCCAAGCACGGAGATGTTTCAAACTGAAGACTAGCTAAAGTTGGTCTGCAAATACATGATCTCAGGTTCTGTGTCATGATTAACGGTGAGGTGTCGGAGGTGGGGGTTGAGGGAGGAAGTTGAATGACTCCTTGGTTATTAGTGACAAGGGCAGGAGGGAAACACACGGTTACACCACTGGAATGCTGACTTGGGTCTTCGGCTAGTCAGCCCCTTCTTGCATGTCCGGAGCACGGAGAGGGCTGAGGGGCTCGAGGGGCCGGCTCCCAACACTGTAATTTCTTGGACGCCTTATTGTATTCGAACTGGACAGAGGCGTAAAGCTGTTCCTTCTCATCCTTACAGGGGTTTGGTTCTTGGGGCAGTTGTTCTGATTGGAAATGGAGGGACACCACACAAATGAAAGCCAAGCCAAAAGCTCACTCACATGGGTTAAATAACGCTTGTAAGCACAACAGCCTTCCTCACTCCTGCTCCTCTGCACACAGGGTCTCGCACGGGACAGGGGACATGGCCTGGTCTCCCAGCACCAGGGAGCTAAAAGGGTTGTAGGAGTAAGAAGCTCCTTGAGTATCATATCCTAAAGCAGGAAAAAGACTCAAAGAAAGGAAGGGGCTTATTGAAGATCACACTGCTTACCAGGGACAGACCCAGGAACGAACCTAAGTCTCTTGACTTTATAGGCTCCCCTGGACTCTGCTTTCTAAATGGAGACCTTCCTGGGGTAAGAATTTGCACTTCACTTCAACCAGACACTTGCCATATTTAATCGAATTTCTAGGAGCCAACTTTCAAGGTTAACACTCATGAAAGGGGTATTAATTAAAAAATAATAACTCTAACATCTCTTCCTTTTGGAAGTAAGCAAACTACATAGGACTTGAGTTCTGGATCTGTTTGCCTTTCGTATATAAAAGAAACCTCAGTCTGTTGATGCTAAAGGTTCAAAAGACTCAAGGTGGCAGGGAAACTGGCATGTTCCCCCATGGTAAAATACTTACAGTTGGCTTGTCACGGTGAGTGTTCACAGCCTCCACGTTGAGTTTAATGGTTTCCACTTTGCACCCTGGGAAAACAGAGGGAAGAAACGAAGCCATCAGGGAAAAAGCTCGAGAGAAAATTCCTTAGTTTCATCATAGGAAAGTATACCATGAAGGTATGTACATATTCCCAAATACATACATACATACATACATCTCTTTAAAAACGGAAGGCACGGATGGAACTTCCGTGGTCTAAGTTGAACTTCTAGACAAACTTCAGAAAAAATTCAAATATCCAGACCTTCCTGGATCCCCACATTCTGCCAGCCCCTAAGCTCATAGTTACCGTAGGCCACAGGAGTAAGTTTGAAGATGGTATGAAGCGGGCATCTCAAGTACGGTAGCTCATCTGAAAGCAGAAAGGCCAGATGGGAGAAATCTTAACATTAGGGACTAGGTCAAGTTAGTAAAAGAGAGATTGTAAGCAGCTCATAACAAGTTTTCTTTATCCTGACCACTACCTAGAGTTGGACAGCTCCTCCCCTAAACATCAGTCAATTCTCACGACCGAAGAAGCTCCCCAAGCTTCTAAGTGGCTAAGGAAGGAAATAAAGCCAATTTTCGATCCTTCCAAGCAAGCAAAACAGGAATCAGTACTGTAGCCAGGGGCCCATGGAAGGGGTCTACCTGGGTACAGCAAAAGCCAGTAATGCTTCGCCACAAAAGCTTCCCAGCGGTTCAGGGAAATCAAAGGATGAAGAAGATACCACCTTCCTAGTAATCAGAGTGACACTCTGGGAATATTCAGACACTTTCCCGATGCTGCCAGGAGCACCAGCTTGATGCTGGCCCTTTAGCCAGGCAGGATCAAGGAGCACCAGCAGCAGCCACCCTCCGTTGGGGGTTTTTGCAGCAGCAGAGTGAATTTAGTAAGTAGCTGACCCCGTGGCTGCTGGGAGCCCCACACTGCTGCCTGAAGAATGTACTCTAAGTTGAGTGGAAGAGGGGAAGGTCTGGTTGCCAAGGATCCTGGTGCCACCATGAGTCCAGCCCTCTCCCCATGGATGTGTCCCCCAGCCCTTCCCTCAAGCTGTACCTGCGCCTTTATCCAAGAAGTAGGCCAGGAGGCAGCGCATGACAGCCTGGTGGGAGATGACGAGGACGTTGCCCTGACGCTCCAGCTCCATGATGACGGGCTCCAGCCGCTGCACCAGGTCCTGGTACGACTGTGCGGGGAATGGGGCGGGCTGGCAGGGGGCCAGATGCAAGCTGGCAGCCATATCAGTGCCTGGGGCCCAGAGTCAAGAGGCTACTTCTTCTTCCCCAGCGGGCTTTCCTCCTGGATACTCAGCGACTTTATGTCACCTAACTGTCCCCAGCCCTGGTATCGCTTGAGAATAATCAGATCTTTCAAGAGTAATATTCAGACCAAGGAAACTATGGGTCAAGAAGAGAAAGTCTGAATTCAACCTGTGTTGGGTTTTTTGTTCCCACAGATTGATACAGGCAGTATATAAGACAACAAGAGACTCCCAGGAGCTTCCTGCACCTCTGCCATTCTGTTTTATCTACTTTTGCCCCACACATCCCTAGGGTATAAAGCCACTGAGTCCAGGAAATAGCCTAAAACACCGAAGAAGATAGGGAAATAATTCATATCCCATATATTTACTTGGTGACTCCATTTGCTTATGTGGGGGTGGGATTAAGGAAATAGAATGAAAATTAGAAACTAAAAGAAGATTGTGTTGATTCTACAACATATGCAACATAAAGGAGGTCTTGTCACCCTTTTCCCCGGAGATCTTAACAAATTAATGAGGCATTTGGGGGGCCTAAGCTGAATTGGACCCAATATGACTCAAGGGTAAGAGGATAAACAATGTCTAAGCCCCCCCAAATCACATTTCAATTCTTCCCCCAAACCGAAGCTAAACCCCAGCAAAGGGCTAGGCAGTCTCCACGTGAGGGAGGCTCACCTCCCCACCAGGATACCGATACAGATACTTGTCTTGATCTCGAAGAGCAAATTCTTCTGGATACTGCTTTTCTATTTCTGCATAGGTCATCTCCTCACACACGCCCTGCAAAAAGCCACACTGGCTTAAAGAAGTAAACTGACCCACACTAACGCCATCCCCAATAAGGAAGATGGCACTGAAAAATACTAGTTTCTCACTATGTGCCAGGCACGGTGCTGGGTCTTTTGTGCACTATACCTGATTGTGACCAGGGAGTCAAGGGGTGTCTGCAACTCTCAGGGTGAGGACCCCCGCAGAGAGGAAGGCAGCTTCTCTAGCTCACCTGCCACTTTCTCCTGCTACTGTGCGGATCCCAAAGGCCAAGAAAAGTCAACGGGATAAAAGGAAGAGAAAGCAGGGAAGGAGGGAAACTGAAGGGACTGGAGATCTTGCAGGAGAAATAAAAGGATAGAGAGGAAGAAAAAGAAATTTCTACTTTTATGCTTAAAGACAGAGAAAACCAAGAAAAACTTTGGGAAGGACTTTTCCTGAATAGCTGACCAAATGATCTAAGCAGAAATTAAAGAAGTGGGTTGTTGGCTATTTCTTTTTCCCAGGCAGCAAACATACAAAGGAACAAAATGAGTCCTTGTTAGCCCCACTCCCCCCAGGTGCCAGAATGGCTGGGTCAAAAATTGGTTTGGGTCCCATCATTGACACAAGAACTGAAGCAGGCAGGAAATCTCATTTGGGGGTGCAGTTTTCTTCCCTGAATCTCCAAACTGGCCACAAATTCAGCTTCCTCAAAGTTTCTACTTTGTGTTTCTAGTTTCCTAGAAAAAACTGCTCAAGTGGTGACTTCTCGGAGTTCCCGCCTGAATATGAGACCCTTATTTGGCTATTTTTTTTTTTTTTTTTTGGCCTTCAGAGCTTCCTACTCACAGCATCAATCTCATTCAGAATCTTCCACTGCTCATAGGTCACCCCAAGAGACTCTGCAGTCTGGATAGTCCTCTTCAACTGGCTCGTCCACACTTTGAGGTCTGCTATCTCCTGTTCCTCCAGAAACTTCCTTAGAGCGTGGGAAAACTGGGGTTTGAAAATAAAAATTAAAAAAAGAAAAACTCACACACACACACACACACACACACAGACTAACTTAGCCTAAAATGGGCAACGTGTATAAGCCACAGTCAAAATCCATAAGGTGCTACAGTGCTACACAGTTACTATAAACCCAAGAGGAAATGAACTTTGACTGATGCAACCTGTACTGTGCTAAGAATACGATTCGTGCCCAATAAATATCTGATGGTTGAACGATCACAGCAGAAATGGCTCCAAGTTATCCACACAGAGCTAGAAGCAATGAGCAGGAAAACACCTTGAGTAGTTGCCTGACTTTCTGAAACCACAGTCTAAGCCCAAATGGGATTTAAGAAGTAGTAAGGGGATAAAAGGGATGACCTCCACCATGCCCTTTTAACTCTAAGCCCAGGAAATCCAGCCTGCTGGCTAATTACTTACCTGCTTTCCACGCACTGAGAGGCCAGAGTCACCCCCAATCTTCCCCAAGAGATTGAACTCGCTCTCTCCGTGCCGGCAAAGGTAAATGGTGCGAGGCTGGACGTGAATGTTCATGAGGTAGTAGACTATCTTGCTCTGGATGTAGTCCTGGACTCTGTTGACTAAAAATCGCTGGCCCACATTTATCACCTTGATGAAAGAAAGATCCCTGGGACAGAGCAGGAAAAAAAACTTTCCTGGGTATAAAAATCTGATAATTGGATTGCGGGGGGAAGGACTTCTATGGTGATTTGTAGGCTTATAGACACTCTTCCTCCTCTCCTCTGTCATCCCCCCGTTTAAGGAACCAAATGGTAGGAGATGGATTACTCCTCAAAACCAAGATGAAGCACAGTTTCTGAACTTCCTTCTAGTCAGTCCCTACCAGTTCCTCAGTGTCTGTGCTGTGCCATGCAATGTAGATAAATATGGTAAACAGAATTCAGGCTTCCCTCCAGGGACTAGACGACCTGAAGGTTTTGCTAAGCCTGAACTTGGTGTGAAGAATAGGCCCCGTCCGAGGCGATCAAGACCCGGCATAGGGTGCCAGCAGCAACGCCGTGAAGAAAGAGGCAGCAGAACCACAGACAGAGATGTCTGCACACTGCCTGCATCTACCTAACTCAGCCTCACTCAAGGCACTTTCGGTTGCTTTGTGGCCATCATGGGCTTGTAAAAGCAATAAATGCTTTATAAAAATAATAAATGCTTCAAAAAATCAATCCAAATAAAACCAGAAAAAAGAATGATGCAAATCACCCATCACCCTACTACCAGAGATAACATCTATAAACACATACATTATATATAACATTCTTCTAGAAATGTTTTTTTAGGTAGGACTTTGGGTTAACGGAAGGATATACTGTTATGTCATATCAAGAGCAGTGGTTTTCGACCTCTGTATGAAGAGGACACCTCCAAATACCAGTTTTCTGGGCAACCCACTTGAAGGAACTGAAAGGCTCAAAACGTTAAGCAATCCACTGTCGAAGGAACTGAAAGACTCAACATCAACCAGCCCACGGCAGCAATTTAAGTGTGCCATGCACACCTGTCGCCCCATCTGCTTGGCTGCAGGTCTGAATCCTTATTTGAACAGAGCTGTCAACTGCCCTGAATGTGCACTCTTTCACAAGGCCACGCTCCCACAGAGTGCCACGTGTACACTATCTTTCTTCAACATAGACTTGGTGTTTTGCTGTGGCTCACATACCTCACACACAAGTTAATACATATTCTATACCACATTGCCAATAGATGCTGCCATATTAATGATGGCTAGCATCGATCAGACATTCCTCTGAGTCAAGCATGTTCCTGAGGGCTTCATTTATATTATATAGATACATATACATAATATGCAATATTTATTATACTACATATAATGTGTTATCTTAGGTTATAATATTATGATATGTGCACGTATTAATACATATGTAATATTATATAATACATAGAGAGTAAACATTAAAAACTGATTAAAAACAGATGACACATCTCCAAGAGGTGTCCTACAACACCCTAGTTCAGAACTACTGATCTTGAGCAGTGGTTCTCCCATCCAAGAACTAACCAGGCCCGACCCTGCTTAGTTTCCGAGACCACACGCGTTCAGGGTGGTATGGCCGTAGATTGGAGCAGTGGTTCTCAACCAGGGGTGATCTGGCCCCTCAGGGGACATTTGGTAATGTCTAGAAACATGTTTGGTTGTCACACCTTGGAGGTGTCGCTGGTACCTAGTGGGCAGAGGCCAGGGATGCTGCTAAATGTCCTACAATGCACAGGACAGCCCCTACGACAAAGAATTTTCCAGTTCAAAGTACCAACAACGCTGAGATTGGGAAATCTTGCTCTAGAAAACAGAAAGAAAATACTGAAGGTAAAAAACACATCAGAGTTCAAGACGCAACCCACATAAAAGCCACAAAGCCATACCGTGTTTCTCTGGAATGACATGAACATTACAGGTCTAGATTATCAGAAGGAAGTGAGGGGACAGAGGGAGAAAGGCTTTTTTCCCAGATGAGACTTTTGCCTCAGGCCCTTCAAACCACGGCCTTGAACCTTACTTGTCATAGTTGTCTGGGTCAAGGGGTCGGTAGGTGACTTTGTAGCACTCGATTCTCTTCAGGAAGTCCTCCATCACATTCTCCCGGTTCCGCTCAGGGTAGTCAGGGCTCGACACCTTTACTTCCTGCAACCACAGGGCTAGTAAGGGCCCAGGCAGAGGTCTGCCCCGAACAGCCCTCCTACAAATAGCCACTGCTAAAAAAAGAAAAAGAAGTGCATAGAAGTAGCCTTTCACTGGAACGCTGGCACACCCCACTCATGGAACACCCCCCCTCCTGTGACCCTGGCAACCAAGAAAGTAAAGACAACTGGGAGTCATGTGTCTGCCTTGGCTGAGGGACAGAAGCAGTCACACAGCTGAAGCTGCTCCTGGGCCCCAATCCCTTTACGCACTTTACTGGGACAGAATGGGCTCTAGTTTCTCCCCATTGCCACTGAGAATAGGGTGTGTGACCCCCATGCCTGACTTAGGGCCAGAAGTCTCTTCCCCAGATGATCCCAAGTGCCTACACTGCTAGGAGAGCACACCACGAGACCACGCTCAGCTATCTACTTGGCAGAACCGAGCACAACCCATCCAGTGGGGACTGTCTTATGCTGTGACTCCACAAGGCATGAGGAGCTCAATGCATAAAACACTGACCAGAATACTGGATGCCTGTTGGGCAGATGACCTTCCCATAAGTCAACCCAGACAGATAATGAAAAGTCTGATCTATTTTAATATTGAGAACTCATTATCCAAATAATACCCAGAACACAGGGCCAGGGTCTAAGACCCTTCCTAGGGTCTAAGACCATTCAACAGCTAATTCCAAAGCCTCAGTTTCCTCTCCCAACGAAAGAGTTTGGAAGTAGCAAATGGTGCTCCGGCAGAGACAGAAAAGATCTCCCTGTCATGTTAAACATGTCTATTTTTCTCTTTCATTATCTAGAACAGCCCCTACCACACAAAGACATACAGGGAGGGCACAAAAGGTGAAGAGGAGGTGGTATGTAGGGGTGTCACCCACCAGGATATTGGCAGCAATGACATCAGGATCATCACAGACAGATTCCACAAAGAATACCTGGCCATGGAGACAAGGCAGTGATAAACAAGTCAAACGTGCCAGGCTGTTCATTGAGAGCACATGCTCACCTACCCCACCCAGCCACATCTCCCAGGACTTTCTTCATGGAAGTGGCCTTCAAGGCCTTCTCACGTAGCTCTTATCACATCCCCTGGGCCTCAACCATACAGGCTAAAGGTCTGAGAAAGGGCCTGAAAGAAAACACTGAAGGAAGAGGAGAATCGGGTATCCAATCCTGTCCTCACACACCACAGATCCACTGGAATTAGCCCCCTTCCTGTCCGCCCCCCTCCACTCATCCTTTTTCCTCCAGCACAGAGTCAGTCCTACCTTGAAGGAATTCTCCTTGGCAAAGTTCAAAATCATGTCCCTCCTCTCCCGGGTGGTATTGGTGGCATCAAACACCTGGGAAGAAAGCACACAAGGGAAGTGAGTAGGGACAGAGAAATGGAACCCTACCAAGGCAGACCCACGGTGGGCTGAGTAGCCAGGTGGCCGGAAGGGTGGGAACCAAGCGAGGAAAGAAGCAGGTAAGGCTCACCGCGATCTGCCCACTCTCCTCAGTGAGATACGCCTTGACATCCTCCAGCGCCACCAGAGCACACTGTCTGCCAAGAGAGCAAAGGAAACCAGCAAGAAGAGCTAAGTGCAAACATAGCCAGACACACAAACAGCTGGGCTGCTATAGGATCAATGTGCCTTCCCACTTAAGTTTTCTACTGGTCAAAATTTTTCCCTAACTAGATCTTTCAACTTTCCCACTGAGGTTTATTACCCCATCCTGTATCTTCCTCCTGCCCCTGCCCCAATGCATAGATCTTATCCCTCTATACGGTCAGTCTACAAGCACACAGGCATCACCCTGAGCCCTGTTCTTTTCCCACCCAAGCCCAAGGTGATCTGCCCATCAGGTAACTTCCACTTAAAATCCCCACAAGATATTTATGGAGAGGAAACCAAAGCCCTGTCCTGTCTAGTCTCATGATGGCCAAGAAAGACCCGACCTGGGGGTCAGGCCTTGAACAAGACTCACTTGCGGATCTTCATGGCCTCCTCATTGTCGTGCCGAAAGAAGTCGTAGGACTTATAGGACTTGACTGCTTGACGCCGATACACCCCAAGGTTAAACACTGCAGAAGACACGCAAATCCTTCAGCAGTAAAACAATACGATGGCCTCACCAAATGGAACTTTCTGGCCTAATGTGGCCAAGGGGATGAACAAAAGCACCATGGTGGGTGGGGAACAATACCAGATTAAGAGTCAAAAGAGGTGGGTTCAAGTATTGACTTTCTAGACCTTCAGCTGAGTTTCAATTTCCTCTGCTACTCTGTCTATTTCACAAAGATGTTGATAGGGTTAGATTAGGTGACGCGCATGCAAGGGCTTTGAAAGTGTAAAGTCCTATACTCATTTAATTCTTATATTCCTATCAAAGGCATTCTCTCCAAACAAGGCCAATCCACCCAGGCCAAGAGGAGACAAGTCCGGGAACAGGGAGTCAATCCAGGAAACCAGAAAGCAATCACTATTTCTGCCAGAAGCACCCCATGACCTTGAAGCCAGGAAGAATAAATCTCCTAGAGGCCTGTGAGGCCCAGGAACTAAGATTTCCCTTCCCAAGGAATGATCTGCACCTACCTTTGGTGGGCACTCCAATCCAGTTGAGGTAGCGTGTTAGTTTCTTGGACACATAGGTTTTACCCCGGGCTGGCAAACCAATCATAACGATGAGAGTCGGGGAGTTGGTCATATAGGACGCCCATGCTAGAAGGCAATGAAACAAAATAGAACTAAACGACCAGGGGCCTAGTAAGTTTATGCAGTGGGCTAGGGCCTTCACAGTCACAATCTTGTTTAATCCTCATAAACCTGTGAGGAAAAGGTCCAGGAAGAGTGAGAAGGCAAATAAGGAAATATCAGACAGATCCTCCTGAAATAGAGTTAAAGGTTGTACAGACTTCCGGAGAGTACCCAAGCCAAGACATGTCTTTCCCACATGTCTGAGGTCTTCACAGAGGTACCTGAGGTGGAAAGAGAGGGAAAAGTGGCAAGGATTAGAAAGTAATCACGTCACCTCCTTAACATGAGAATGCCTAGAGAAGAATGATCTAGCTGGGAAGGAAGGTCTTGCAACTAGAGATTCCACCAGTGCAGAACTGAGTGGGCCCCTATCATACGTCCAACAGAGTTTCTATCTCGAAGATCTCACCCCTCCCTTCAAGGCCACAGGCAAGACTTAGCTTGCCCATTGCAAAAAGAACTTTGCCTCAAGCTGTTGTGGACTTTGCACTCAGGCTATGAGCTCCTCCTTAAGCCAGAATTTCTAAACCAATAGTGAGATTTGGTAGGCAAAGCCTACCTGTACCAAGTTCTGAATAAATCTCAGGAAGCTTTATGGTAGAGCTAGCCCAGTCTGCCTCAATGGCCCAGATAAAAGCAAGGCACTGGAGATGCATGAATAGTCACTGGTCTACCCTTCCTTAGACAATTATTAATAACTTCTTGCAGGAATACTCATTTACAGAAATAAGTTTCACTGGACAAATGGAGCAAACTAGATGTTCAGAGGTCAGGTGACTTATCTAAGGACACATGATGAGTCAAGGGGGGAGCTGGCACTGGAATCCAGATCTTGTGCTTCCCTGGCAGCTTTTCTCCACAAAAAGAGGCTCATTCTCAGCTTGTTCACAGGGACTGGCTCATCCCCGCCCATCCTGCCACCGGGAGAGGGACCGGCACTGCTGCCAGCCACTTCCCTGGGGGCAAGACCATAACTGAGGATGATCTGGGAGGGCCCTGACTCTGCCGACTCCCATGAGAGAAGTCCCCACCGGGATGGGAAAGGGAAAGAAACACCTGCACCTTCCACTTCCCAGCATTGCTTTCCAGAAAGTGCCCTCCCTGCTAATTGCAGCTGCTTCTCTGCCCTGGGACAAGGTGGCCCTGTAAAACTAAGAAACAATTCAGTAAAATGGAGGCACTTGGATAGGTAATTCATCTTTCATCTGTTGAGAAAGAAATGTAAAAAGATCTCACTGGAAAAAGTAGGCAGAGGGACCCGGGTAGAGAACCACCCTCGGAAGGAAGAGAGTTTCCTAGGCAGGAGCTCCTCCAAGGCAGGTACTGGAGCAGCATAAGTGATTTTCATCTCTGTCCAAATAGGGGGTGCAAGGCAAGCAAACACCGCCCTGCAGCCTCAGCTAGTATTAATCCCTGATCACTGACCCCTAAGAGGCAGATACACTCTGCACGGGATCAGCTGCCTCAGGTTTAGGTAGTAAAATCCCCTGAGTCTTCACTTTCTCCAGCTCAGCTCAGCACCGCAGGCTTCTCAATCCCCCATGACTCGGCTCATTACCTGCACTGCCAGGCCTGCTCTGTCCACACTTCCAGCCCATTAGGCACTTTCCCCAAAGGCCCTGTAAAGCTTAAATGAACTGATACTTGGGAGCTGCTCTGAAGGCAACTAGTGAACCAGCTGTTCCGTGTTTACCCAACTGGACAGAAAATGCCAAGAACAAGAGAAAACCCCAGCCATGGGGACACCACATGTGCCCTCCTGCTCCACACCTCCCACCTCTGCCCTGCGCACACCCACACACACCTGCTGCAACCCGGGTTTCTCAATTTCCAGAGTACAAAACTAAACTACACTTCCTATCTCAAATTGCCACGCTGGCAAAGCTAGGAACAGTCTGTCCTGCCTGTTAAAAAAACAAAACCACTTGCTGTCACCACCATCTTAATTTGAATGGTAGCTACTTCATACTGGTTAATTTCAGAGACAACGTACCCCACGTTTGACATATAATGGGAAACCATTTCAACTTCGAAATTCCTTTCCACCTTCTTCACACAAGGTTTAACTCATTTTCTCAATCTTAAACTCATTTTCCCTTCCTAAAGTTGCTTAGATGAAATGAGGACTTGATAACTTCTCTTGTATAAACAGAAAAACTCAAGCCCGGAGAAGTTAAGAGTTTTGCCCATAGCCTTGCACAATAGAAAGTCAAGGTCAGGGCTCTGACCAGACTCCTGGTCTCACGACTGCCCGTTCAGTCCCAACTGCCAGCTCCTGTGCCTCAAATCTGCACTTGACGAAGGGACCCCCAGGGTAAACCCAACCATGTTCTCCATTCTAATTCTGAAGGATGGTCTAGGAGAGCAATGATTCCCAGCCTCTTCATGACAAAGGTTGTCTTCTATGATTTGTTCTAAATAGGCCCAATATTTTGAAATATGCTGCCCATAAAGCATGTCTCATTGGTGATATCTTATTTTTATTCATTAGAAGTCACAAAAACTGCTGATTATCTCCTGCTGTTTGACAGGCATGGAATAACCAAGTTCATATAACTGCAGCCAAACACTAAGAAAGCGGATGTTTTAGTTAACCATTGCAGCTATAGCTGCAAATGCCCAATTTCCATCAAGTATCTTGAAATATTAAAAACAGCTTACAACACAGAACTTCTCAGGAGAGCAAATTAATCATACTGATCAACATTTCCAATGTGTCCATCTTTTATCCTATTATTTCTGTAGGAAAAGTTGCTGGCACAAACGGGCAAAGGTAGATGTGTAAGGATGCTCACTGCAGCGTTCTTTGTGATGGTGGAAAATTGGAAATGATTTAAATGTTCATCGGTGGAAAACTGGCATATCCATACAATGTAGTAAGAGGTAAATCTGGATTCACCAACATGAAAAGGATGTCCACAATATAGTCAGTTTTTAAAGAACGGAAATGGCAGCAGGACAGAATATGTACAGTATGAAGTTATTTTCATTAAGGGGACACACCAGTGTAAGATTTCTAAAAGAATCAAACTTAGCAGAGACAGGAGAGATTGTGGGAGATTATTTTACTTTTTGCTTTCTTTCTTTCTGTATTGTTTGAATTTTTCATGAACACGTTTTGCTTTTGTATTTAGGGAAAGGTACATGTAGGGACTTGTCTGCTCCATATCTACTCAAGATATCAAAGAAATCAAAAAAAAAAAAAAGCATGTAGAGCCCCCCAAATTCTGGCTTTCAAAGAGCCCCGAAACCAGTCATCTGAGCACCTTAAAGGCACCTCAGTCAGCACCCCTCTTCGCCCCATCCCTGGAGCAGTTGAAGTCCCAGTAATGCTCCTTTGGAGGTTTTGGTTTCCTAAAGTCACATTCTTCAGCCCTGAAGTCCTCAAGCCCAGTCACTTGCCAAAGTCAAAGTCAGCCAACACAGGTGTAATTAGCAGCAAGGGAATAAAGGTTAAGCTATTAATAAAGCAACTGCTGGTGTGAACACGAAGCAGCCAGGCGAGCCTGCTTCAAAATACAGGTGCATAGCGGAGCAAAAGGAAACAGACTAACACACGTTCTCAGAACTGTATTCTCTCCTTTGACTATGGCTACGACAGTCTCACAACTGAGAAGGGAGTGCGGTAAATAAATCATGGTGGCTTTAGGACAACCCAGAGGCCTCCAGTGGAGCAGGGGAGGGGGGGAGAAGCTATTTGGAGAAGAAGCTAGAGCTTGGCAAGGAGAAATTAGAGCCCAGAGTAGGAATTAGAGTCTAGAACACAGGAAAGAGACCAGAGATCTTGCTTCCTTGACTAATTAGAAGCCCACAAGGCAGAAAAAAGGCAGGAGAGTCAGAAAGGCAGGTAGGAGAGATTCCTGGCGTGGAGAATAAAGCAGAGCTAGAAAGACTGACACGGTACAGTATCATGCAGAGTCAGAGACTCCCACAGTCATCAGCGCTGCCCCCCAGCCCCAGCTCTCTGATTTCTTTTGGACCAAGCACCCTAATAACACAAATGTATTCCCCTTTAAGAGGTACATCCCAGATCTGGGTTACCATATTGTTAAACAAGAGGAGAAAACATTCTTTACTGAAAAAATAACTCTTCACAGGACTCTTTAAAATAGTGAGCTCCCAGTACAGCATTTATATATGCTTCAGAAATAAATACAACATGCAGATTGAGTCACCTGTGCAAACTAACATACATTAGCTATATGCCCAACACTCTTCTCAGTGCTTTCCTATATTTACTCATTTAATCCTCCTATCGCTCTTGGGGGAAATACTAATAGTATCCCCACTTTAAAAAGAAGTAAACTGAGGCACGAGAGGATGAGCAACTTGTTCAAGGGTACATAGCTAGGAAGTAGTAAAGCCAGGATCCAAGTCCAGGCAGTCTAACTCCAGAGGCTGCACTCAAACATCATGTTATACTAGTTATCTCTCATGGAGTATTTCACCCTTAGTACTTGGCTCCCTGCCCTGGCAGAGAAAAGAGACCCTAATTGTAGGGGTGTGCCAACCCCAGTACCACATCCAAACCAGCTGCTTCTGTCTAGCAGGCCTCATGCATGCTAGGTGGAGAGAGATTATCATCATTAATCATGAAACTGACAAGGGCATGACATTAAGGTCGAGGCTCTGGGGAAAGCTTTGAACATGAGACTATTGCCGGTCTCACATTGGTTGGCTGTTTCCACCTGCTGATATATATAACTACTCAAGTGAGAAGAACTGACTGATAGGATTCCAAAGGTAAGGTGGAATCCAGAAGCGGAAGCGGAGGCATGAGTTAGCATTCCTTGAAATTCCCCAAAACATCTGGGGACTAGCATCCCAGTCCTTTTGGGAAGCTATGCAACCTATAATGATGCTTAGGAATGCATGTTTCACCTCCCTGCAAGCCCTCGTGCTGTCTCCGTCTAAAAGACTGGCATGGAAATGCTCATGTGAAAGCTGTCCTCAAAGGAAGGAACCTGCTAAGAAAATAGTCTGCAAAGAGCAAAGGCTAAACCTCTGAGATAGTGAGGTGCCCAGATACTGTGAGAAGTCAAGTGCCAGGGTTCATTCCCCCTGAGGTCTATAGGAATGATGCCAAGCAGCACTGGCTCCTCCCTGCAATTGCTGTAATAAACAGCAGCCTCCCAAAATGGGTTACCAACAGATAAAGAGAAACTGATAACGTTACCAGCCCAAGTAACTATTGTACCCTGCAAATCTGTTTTACTCACTGCATGCACAATGCATGTTCTAACTTCTATCAGCAAGCCAGTGTGCAGGAGACAGAGACTCAATTAAAGAAAGCGGTCTAAGAAACTTCTGGGCTACACCAGCACTTTAACCCCCAGAACAGATATTTCACTAAATCTACTTGTTTCAGACAGGAAATTCCACCCTGGAGACTTTGTTTTCAATTCCTATGTCAAAGAACTATTTATCACTCTCACCAAGCAGCAGAGTCTAGGATTACAACTATATTCCCAAAATAAAATCCTGCGAGTGTGCTAGCAGCCCCTCCTCTTTCCCAGGACTCACAACATTTCTTCTCTGACGTTCGAAGATTTGAGGTTTTGGTTTGATAGCTGTTGTTGTTCTGTTCTGAGGAAGATGCAGGATTTCTAGACATGGCAGCTCTTCAAAAGATGTCTAAAAGAGAGGAAAAGATTGTAAGAAAGGGAAGGAAGGAGATATCCCTCAAAACACTCAGTGCAGAGGCTCCCTGTGGTGTAAGTGAAAGAACCCTGGGCCAGGAGTCAAGTCCAGCCCTTCTTTTTTCTTTCTCCCAGCTAATAGCTACTTCCATAGCCCTGTTTCCTTACCTATAAAGAGAGGTGCAATAGTACTTTACAATTGTATGCTGACTTAGGAGTTTACATTCACAGACGTTATTATCACCTTCAGTCCTTCCAATAATCTTGTAATAAGGCAGATTTTGCTACCATTATAACTTCTCCCCATTTTACAGAATAGAAGACTGAGGTTAATCGAATTAAATGGCCTGTTCAAGTTCTTTCATGATCTCAAATTTCAGTTTTAAGAATCTGGGCCGAGTAGTGGCAGCAGTTGGGGTGGGGTGGGTTATGAATAGATCAAGTTCATTATCAAGGAAGTAATTACAATCCAACGGTAGGACTCAGTCTTGAAAAAAATGACAGAAGTGGGAAAATCTCATACAAGTTCCCTGAAGTAAAAACTGTTAACTGGACCCTGAAATAGCCCTAGCGCGTCACCATTTCTCCTCTGGTGTTCTCATTCTCAACCCCTGCTCCGCACCCTCTCCCCATTTTCCACCTGGGACTCAGTCTGAAGAAGGAGCATTGGAGCACAGAGGTGGTAAATGACTTCCTCAAGGTCACCTGCGGAATAAGGGGTAAGTCCCGATTCGACCTAGGGTGGGAGAGCCTCCAGCTCACTCAAACTCAGACAACGGGCTCGTGAAGACGGAAGGTCGCATTGCTTCTAGGACCTTGCGCTGTTCCTCCACTGACCACACAAATCCTCCAACCCAAACACCAGCTGCGGCGCCCGGTCCCAGAACCTCCGCATTCCCTGCAATGCCCGGGGGACCAGCACGTCCCCAAAGAGCGAGGCATCATCGATCGCCCCGCAGCTCATCCGGATGCACGCAGCCACCCCGAACCCGCCCGCTCAGCCCCTTCCAGGCGCTGCGCAGCTGTCGCTCACCCTACGATCTCTCCTAAGACCCCTCCCAGCAGCGGCCCCGGCGCTTCCCACGTAACGCAGCAGACCGGACCGGACAGATTGTGGCCAGGGGCCCTACGCTCCACTCGCCGGCAAATCACGTGCTCCTCCCTGCCTCCGCCCACCCGGGCGTCGGTCCTCACCTGGAGAGAATCGTCGACCAATCGAGCGCCCGCAGGAGCCAGGGGGCGGGGCTCAAGGCGGAATTGCTGACACTAGCCCCTGAAGGAGGATGGAGCTGTGAAGGAGAACCAGTACAAGCTCCCAAGTTTCCCAGCCCCGTGGAGGTTGGTTGCACTGTTGCTTGGTAACTGATGGAGCTGGGGGCGGGGCTAATAAAAAGCCTTCCCTCCTCCTTACTCTCGCGAGAGTGGATTACTAAGTAGACGTCTTGAGAGGGTGTGACCTTTTGATGACGGGGAAAACGGCGCAAAGATTAACGCTTTCATCCCTGAATCCCAGCAGGACCTCGTTAGAGCCATAAATTGAAGCGTAAGCTTTAAAATATGTTTCGCTAGAATAAACTACCACAATACTTGAGTTGATTACACGTTAGGGTGTTTGCGTATCCTTCCCCTAGGTCAGACACTGTAACCTAAGAAAACTACTCTCATCGCTGAACCAGTAGCTTCCCTGGACCCATCCATATCACATACTTCAGTGGACTTCTAACCACCTTCCTTATTCCTCTTCTACCGCCCCTTCCTCCCAGGCTATATCATCTGTTGTGGTCATCTTGAAGAACCAAGAAGGAAAATTGCACCAGCAAAAAACTGAGTCATGAAAGGTGTGAAAAGATGGAAAGGTTCCATATAATTTATTCAGGGAAGGAAGCTTTTATACTGGAAGTGAGTTTGCACATTCCAAGTGAACTACACTTTTTATAGTTGCCCCAGCAAGCTCGTTAGATGTTTGATAAACCCACTCTAGGCGGGGTGGGACTTGCTGTCTGGATCCAAGATGGGTAAAGAACAATGAGTATGGATTTCTTGAAAAAGAGAAATTCGGGGACGTCTTTATTCCTCCTTCACCTGGGAATTCATCCTTCAGAACAGTTCAAATAGTTATCTGCTCCTTGAAGCTTTTTACGACTCCCAGCGCGTTATAGTTGCCCTCTCTGTGCCTATACAACTCTGCCTTTACCCACTCGGCAAGTATTTATTGAACACTTTATTTGCGAGGCACAGTCCTGGGTTCTAGGCATACAGGGTTGAAAATGGACACAAAATCTAACATCACGTTGCTGTGAAATTCAGCACTTACGTGTCTCTCACACCCCACCCTCTCTCCCCACTACAATGAGTACTTATTACACTGAAGGCAGGAATGAAGTCTTCATTTTTGAATACCCAGAAACTGAATTGGAATCTGGATGACACAGGTTAGTCCTCTTCATTCCTCCTTATACTGCCACCACCTGAATGAGGCAAATGCCCCAGATGCTGACCTCATACTGTGCTTTCTGATGTGGCATGGACGTTTTTCAAGTACAGTCCCACGGAGGTGGAAAGGCCAGTCGTCCGGCCCCCTTGACCCCAATGACTCAATGTTTGGTGCAGCCGCGAGTATAGTCACGAGTATCTACGTGTTTGTGACAGATCCTTTGACTCACTGACCATTCTTGGCATTCGTTTGCTTTCTGAACTATAACTCTGTCTCTCCCGGTATAGTCTGGGTGTCGTGTGGAAGCCCTAATTTAATAATTTCCGACCTTACAAGGTGCAAGGTCACATTCCAATCTATAGTACTTGATTTAGGAACTCCTTCCTCCGCCCTCTTCCCTTGAGCATATATGCTACTGACGCGGAGGGCACCTCATTCTCTCTACAGGTAGCAAGACCAGTTGTACTTTAGGAATACGGACAAGTCTTCATCCTTTGGCTCGTGAGGGAGTGTGCGGGCGGAATTACTTGTCCCTTTAAGAAAGTTTGCTCTTATTAAAGTGCCAAGGCAGAAGCCGCACCAAAGTGTCGCGAGAACTGTGACCACCAGCAACTTCTCGCGATGTTTGGCCCCGCGAAAGGTGGCCATTTTGGAGTCCACCCGGCGGCTGGTTGCCCCGGCGGCGTCTACCAACCTGCTGCCGGGACCAAAGCTGGCCCCGCGGGTGCTTGGCCTGTGGGCGGCCGGAACGACACGATGTGGCGGCTCCGCTGCAAGGCCAAGGATGGCACCCATGTTTTGCAGGGGCTGTCCAGCCGGACCCGGGTGCGGGAACTCCAGGGCCAAATTGCCGCCATCACCGGGATCGCCCCCGGCGGTCAGCGAATCCTCGTCGGATTTCCACCCGAGTGCTTGGATCTCAGCAACGGGGATACCGTTCTGGAGGACTTGCCCATTCAATCAGGTAAGTAATTGGGACAGGGGCCAGGGGAAGTCCTGGGAGAACAGGGGCGTGAGAGAGAACAGAGAACCAGTCAAGGCAGGGTGGCTGTGGACGGGTCAGCTCTGGGCTTTGAGGACTAGGGTGAGGATGGATGAAAGGAACAGAGAACTCTGACGGAGGCCGGGGCAAGTGTCTAGCAACTCCTTGTTTTAACACATGGTTGAAAGAGAAGCCCAAAGCCTTGGAGTCCCCGTTTCCCAATTTCTTTCTGGTCTACTGTGAAATTATCTCAATTCATTTTGTTTTCCCTCTGCATCCACAAAAGTATAAAAAAGTAAGACCAATTTTCTCTGTCCTGGTGGCTCTTTTTCCATGTGTCGTCGATCAGATCTGAAGAGTGCAGGATCCTTTTGTGTTTTTGTTTACTTGGCTCGTTTTTGCAGTCCCCTTCATGTATACTTTAACAGGTATACTCTATTTTAGAGTTAGCTTTTAAACACCCACTGAAAGCCCTTTTAATTTGTAGCCAACACAGTCGTTTCTGTCCAGTTTTAAAACATGAACATCCATGTTGATAATTTAAAAGCTTTCTGTTGTAGCAAGGACTCTGTAAAAACTAAGTAGGGTAGGTATGTTAAGTTTGAAAAGGAGGAGAACCCCCTAGTGGCCTAGTCTGTGGTGAACACCTTCTGGAAGGTTGGTGCTTTTGAAATGCATAGAGCAGGTACATTGTATAAGGAAAATTTGTTTTTGAAATGTATCTTTTTAAATAAGTATAACGTTGTATACTCCAGGCTCCTTCACTAAGTTGAGATGCAACCTGAAATGTTTTGTTCTTTGTTGTGTTTTCATCTTTATGAAGATTCAGTGAACAGAAAGTGTTACTGGTCACTTGTTTGCAAAGCTGAGTCTTAGTAACTGCAGTTTATACTTACTCTGTTTGTAATTCACAGACTTGGCTAGTGAACACCTAATTTCACCTATATTTTCTCTGCAGTTGTGGATTTGTTTTATTTTAACAGGCGACATGCTGATTGTTGAAGAAGACCAAACCAGGCCCAAAACTTCACCTGCATTTACAAAACATGGTGCTCCTAGTTACGTCAGGGAAACTTTGCCTGTACTTAGCAGAACTGTGGTCCCAGCAGACAACTCTTGCCTCTTTACCAGTGTGTACTATGTCGTTGAAGGAGGAGTCTTGAATCCAGCTTGTGCCCCTGAGATGAGACGCCTCATAGCAGAAATTGTAGCAAGTGATCCAGACTTCTACAGTGAGGCAATACTGGGAAAAACAAATCAAGAGTACTGTGACTGGATCAAAAGGGATGATACTTGGGGAGGAGCAATTGAGATATCGATTTTGTCTAAGTTTTATCAATGTGAAATATGTGTAGTGGATACACAGACAGTAAGAATTGATCGTTTTGGGGAAGATGCGGGATATACCAAAAGGGTCCTGCTTATTTATGATGGCATCCACTATGATCCGCTTCAGCGTGACTTCCCTGATCCAGATACACCTCCTCTGACCATATTCTCCTCTAACGATGATATCGTTCTCGTGCAAGCACTGGAATTAGCAGATGAAGCTAGAAGAAGGCGACAATTTACTGACGTAAACCGCTTCACCCTAAGATGCATGGTATGTCAGAAGGGATTAACTGGACAAGCAGAAGCAAGGGAACATGCCAAGGAGACAGGCCATACCAACTTTGGAGAAGTGTGATCTATGCACAAATGAGGGTTGAAGCCAGCTACCTCACAGATCCAGAAGGCTCTGGGTTTTCCAATAAGCTATTCGTAACCCTAAAGAACGAAAGGACACAATGCTTGAACCATCCTTTTAACTTAAAACCACTAAGACACTAAAATTCTTTGTTAAGATTAAAATTAGTGTGCAAGTTTACAGACGCGTGTCTACAGTGGTGATACATGCCCTCTTTCTGCTGGGGTGACAGTGGGGCCATCTACTGACACTGACTTGAAAATGGAGTTTTAGTATTATAAACTAGCACCCAGCAGCTTTAACTTGTAGAAGAAAACAACATCACATTTTGGGTTATGTGGATGGCCTCATGTGAGGCCTCTGGACATGTACCACAGTGTCTCCAATAATAGAGTCCTTTTAATAACTCTGAGTGAGTTAATAGTTTCTAAATTATGAATTGATTCATCAAATGAAGATAGTCAGAATTGTCAAAACTGATTTTATATTGCAGTTTGGTAGACTTTATAAATGTGTACTTAACCACTTATAAGTACATGACAAGCAATTTTTACAGGGACAAGTCTCTTCCTTGAGAATGTTATCTAAAAACAGGAACTGGTAGTTCCCTGTTTAAGATTTCTGGTGTATAAAAGTAGAATGTATGAGGAAAAAGGTGCCTGAGCAGCTTACTGAAGCTTTAAAAGACCGTTGGCCTCGTGTTTTAATGCAATTCATGTATTGGTCTTTGTCACATTGGATAAAATTTTTAAATCAAGCAGAGTATTTTTTTTTAATTGAAATTCCTTTGAAATTTGCTCAGCTTTTGCTTTTTTACATAAAAATTTGTCTGGAGGGATTTAATTTTCTCAGCTTTTTGTTAAGAGCACTTCCAAAAAACATCTCCATCTGCTTTGATTTGGTTTTTGTAAGATCTTTTGCATAAGTAAACAGTATTTGTTTTTCTGCTAGCCTTAATCCCTCCACTAATTTTTTTTTAAATAATTCCACATTTTTTCAAATTAGCACTTTGCTTATCTGCAATCTTTGACTTTTGAAGAGTTTTAAAGTAATTGGGATTATACTGTTGAATGGATTTGTTTCACTTCCAAAATATGAAAGTTTCAAAATCCTTGCCTTAGCTTTCTCAGAATTTTGCTTCTTCCTAATATTAGATGTGTAGCCATTTGCTTGGTGGACTGATTCACAAGGCACACCCTCTAAAACTTAGCTTCACTACAAGATCTTCCAGATAAAGTTCTCTACCTCTTTTCTTAATTCTTCTGAAGATCAGGGATGCAAAATTATAATTTGTTATGTATTATCTCACATAATGTGAAGAGGCTTAATGTTGTGAAGTTTTGTTATCTTGGTCTCATTTTTGATTAAGTATCTCACTTAGAAAACCAGTGGTACACTTCAAAGCACTTAAATCTCTTTCGGCTTATCTTCTTGGCAAATGTTTTAAAATTGAGATTTACTTTTAGCACTTTTCACTTGGTGAAGGTGGCCATGTAAAATTAAGGAACATGTGAACAATTTAGGAGAAAAGTACGCTTAAGGAACAATTCACAAAGTATGCTTGAAATCATCAGATGACATTTCTTGAGTGTATTTTGTGTGTATAGCTGTTGTAGGCATTTTAAGCTATTATGGTCAGTATAACTTAAGAGTGTTTAATTTTCTGTTTTACTGAGCCTTAAGCATAGCGCTGTGAGCTTAGGATACTTAATGTTTGGCAATCATGATATGTACAAATGAATATGAAAATTTCTTCATACCTGACTCATCTGGTCTAAATGGATTTTATATCTCTCTTATTTCCCCCAGAAAAAATTAAAACTGTAAATTAAGAATATACCACTGGATAACAACTATCAAATTGCATCATTTATAAAGCTCACAAAGCTTGCCTTTCTTTGCTACTTCAGGAGCCAAATTTGACATTTGCTTACTGGAATTTTAGATCCAGAAGTTTATTCGTGCAACAAATATTTATTGAGTAATTTTTACTGTGCCAGGCATGTTTCGATATGTTCCCCAACATAAATTTCTGTCACTTTAAAATTGAATATATATTATCTATAGTGGATTAATTTAACAAATGGAAAGAAATACAACACTGATATTTTACAAAATTAAACCCCTTCATTTTAAGTACTTTGTTTACATATTAAGTGTCAAGTATTTATACAGGGGATCTTATTTTATTCTATTTTATCTGTTACCTAGGTTGTCCATTCATCAGTTGGACACTGATGCTCAAATTGCTTTCAAAGATGACTTTTTAAATTAATCATCTACTGAAATTCAGCACTAGTTACTTTAAGATAGTGTTCTGATCATGGAAAATTCAAGATGAAGCATTATTTGCAGATCATTTGATTTAGTTATTGAGGATTAAAAATTGAAACCTCTGTTCATTCTAAATTCAAGCTTGTAGGCCTCAAAAAATTTATAGGGTTTTTTTTAACTACACTTACTAAACTCGTGAAATTAGTTATTAATGTGAGTAAATTCTCATCTTGAGAATTTCAAAAGTATGGATTTAGAACTTGCAGCAGGATTAAAAGAAACTTTGTCTTACATTTGTACTGGAGCAGAATGAAATCCTTCTTCCTACTCATTCAGTTTTTGTCTGCCATACGAGAATTTTGATCAAAATGAAGACAGTTTACATTGGTGGCAGAGTGAATAAAGATTGTGCTTTGCCACTCTACCCCTCCTCCTCTTTTCCCTTACTCTTCTTTAGATTAAAGATTAGATGCAGTGTTACATGAAGATGCACTCTAGATAAAGTAGATTTCAGAAGTTAAACTTAATATCCCTGAGAGTTTTGTGATGTGGTAGCCATATGAAGACATCAGTATGTTAACGTCTTTTGTTAATAGGTCATGTTTGATTTCTTAATTGTTTCCCATGAATGATGATTTGGTACAGTCAAGTGATATCCTTGAAGCTTGGCTGCTGGTCACCTTGACCCCATTGTTAGGGACTAGTGTAGTCATACCAGTTATTCCATGAAGTCCCAGTAAAATCATAATCAGGAATTAATTAACATTATGTTATCTATCTATGTCCTTAAGTGCCCATGCCTAACCTGCTTATCTAGTTTATTCCTCTGTCCTGTGTAGGAATTAAAACATGGGTGTTGCAAGTTGCCCTAGCTAAGCATAGTTTTCTATGTCTTTTTGAAAAAATCAGAATGGGGAGTATGCAAGATTAAGCAACAGAGTGATTTTTTTTTTTTTGTGACAACTCTGGTGGCCTTCCTAAACATACTAAGAATTATGTTCTTTCATGTGTTGAGACACACATTTATGATTGTTTGCAGCACTTTAAAAAAATATGAAATAAAAGTTTACATGTTAGACCTCTCTAGGGATCTTGTTAAGAACATTAAAATATAATTTTTGAACTGCTAACCATCAGCGCTTCTTAATCAGCTATTGGCATCAGTGTATAGTGTATCTAGCGGTACAACATTCTGGTATTTTGGTAACAGCAGAACTCAATTTCAGTAACTATTAGGAGAAAGGTGTGTGCCCTGGCATTAAAAATGTTACTATTATAATGTGATTGTCCTTTATCATCTGTTGTACAATGCAGTATTCAAACTTGTCCTTGTAGCACAAAGATGACTAGCAATTTCTAAAAGATTAAGTTCTTAAAACTCTTCATTTGTTTCTAAGCAAACTTATTTTAAGGAAGCTGATTTTTGAGTCAGAGGCCTTAAAAGTGTCATATATAAGCTACATCATTTTTAAGTCTAAGGTAAAACACTTGATTTGAGTAATCTAGTTTATTAACTAAAGATGTTTTATTAAGTGTTATAATTTTATTTCACATTTGATTCAACATAAAAAGAATATAAAATGTTCCTGATTGTGGGAAAGTGTGGTTTTTCCCTCAAAATTAGCTAGCATTTTGTTTACAGTGCTTTGACTATTTGACTTAGGAAAAATTATTACACTGATAATTGTGGGGTGCTGATTTAGGTCTTGATTCATATGCATTTAAAGGAAGTTGATAACCCTCCCATGGTATTTGGGAGTGAAGGGAAGAAGGGGCAGGAGGATAAAGTACCACTAAAAAAGAAGAGATTGTCAAATGGATACATTCCTAGTCATGAATTATGCTTTTCAGAACATTTTTAAAGCAATACCTTTGTTACATTAACCCTTCCTCCCCATTTGTTGGCATAGAATGTGGCATGGCCATAGGTGAAAAAACTTGTCATTAAATTGTAAAATCATGAATATAAGCATTTTGCTATGATGGCCTTTTATACTTACGTTTTTAAAATTACTAGTCTACATGGAGGAATTTAGGAATAGTGAAAATATAATTTGTTTAAGTGGCAGGTAAACAGGAAGGTTTAGAATTCCTACTAAGATTACAGGAATCTGACTTTATAAATGGTATGGGATATATAGTTAATTATAGACCATAAGTTAAAGGACCAGGGGACCCAATTCTTGTCAGTTTCCAGTTTACATTGGTGCCATTCAGGACTCAGGCTGTTTACAGGAAATATGTACTTAGCAAAGTAATATTTTTCCTTTAAAAAATTTGAATTCAGCTTAAAATACAGAATATGTATAGCTTGTCAAAAGGGACAGAGAATAAAAACATTCCTGTAGTTCCTATATTAATGCAGTAGAGGCAAAGGTTCCTAAAACCAGAAGAAAACCATAAGTGAAGACTCAAATTTAGAGCTGTAGGTCATAACTTGAAAAAGTAGTAGGGAAGGGCAAAACAGAGCATAAAATATTTTTTCTTAGTGAGGATGAACGGTGTTTTCCTTGTTTTAAAAATGTTTTGTCTGTTTGCCAGCATTTTTTTTAAAGTTAATGCACTGCTGCTATCTGGAAGGTGTCTAATTTCATTTTGTACAACTTTTATGTGATTTTGCCATTGTCATTAAGATGCATTAATTTTATTTATGAGGTGTATGATTTTAAATATCTAAATGCTGTATGAAGTGACTTGTTTTAAAGAAATAAATGAAGTGAAAACTTTGTTGTTTGAGTATATTTTGGGATCAGGGGAGGGGTCCAGGGAACAGCTACTACACTCAAGTTACGTATTTGTCAAAAGCTAACAGACTATAGCTATGACTTGTATACCGAAATCCACCAAATCTCACCCTTTAAGTGAGCTCAGGAGAAACCCATGTGTGTCTCCTTCTTAATACCAGAAGGCATTTGAAATTTCTGTTGATTGATTAAATTTTTTTCTAAGTCAGCTCCTGAAAGTTGTCTTCAATATCTGTTGCTGACAAATTGTCACAGTGAAAAGGCTAAATGTTCCCTTTCCTTTATAATAGACTGGGATCTGTGTGGACCTAGATCTGTTTGAAAACGGCAACATCTCTATGGGAGAATTTATTTCATGTTTGATAATGTCAACATTTAAACATTTATTTGAAACAATGCTGGGACTATTAGAATTGGCCAGAAGTTAGGTTCTCTAAATTGAACTACTTATTCATTCTTTCTCATTGAAAGCTTAAAGATTATGGAAGTGGAACTATAATAATGTAATCTCAATTTGTACACCAGGACAAAATATATCTCTGGGGGTCAGCCTAAATCCAACATAAGTCCAGCATAAGAATAATTCAAGCCAAACCTCCTATTAAAAGTTTTGTTAAGAATCTCAAGGGCCGTGTGATGGTAGTTTGTTGAATAATTAATTGCACCCATAAAGCAGTGCTTCTCAGAGTTAGTCATCACATTACCTGAGCACTTGTTAGAAATGCAAA